GTTAATAAAAAATTCGTTAAAATTTTACAGCATACGAAATCGAACCACGTGACAATGTTTTAGTAAAATTTGTCCATATTTATCTGAGAAAAGAGTAAAAGACTGAAAAGAGAGTCTCAGGTACCCATCGAGAAGGTATATGAATACGTACCATATTTTTGACTTTAATGTTAAAGAAACTTTTTAAAATTAAACAAAAAAGCAACCTTATTTTGGCGTAGATTTCGAAATCAATTTCGAGAGTAATCAGAAGTAAAGTCTCTATATTTCAGTTTGGTTTCTTTGATTATGACAAAGCATTCCAGTGCTATCTACCTAAGAGAATGAATGCCTTTGTACGCATGGGGAAAGCCACGAAAGCGCCCATGCCATCGGGATTCGAACGCCGGACTGAACTATCAGTGTTCAGTGAATTGACCGATCGGTGGTTGTTGGGCTTGGTCTGTCTATTTCAGAAGAGGGATGGAAAATTTCAGCTGCGGAAGAGCAAAACGATTTTAAAGAAATAATTGGAGCGCATCGAAAACAGATTTAATGTGATCTGTCACAGAAAATAATAATGAAACTGGAAAAAGCTAAGATACTAGAATTTGGAAGCAATGAAAAATTAATGTCGTTAAATAAAGAACAAAAAATTTTATTAATGAGAAAGGGTTCAAAGGAAACCATTTTACGTTATATATGCTTTCGCTTTACTCCGCTCATACTTTCCATATAAAGTCGTTTCCCTCTCAACTGTGAAATCCCCCCCACCAATTCTGAAATATAGGTCTGATTCTCAAAATTGATTTGAAAATCTACGTCAAAATAAGCTTTCTTTTGTGCCCAATTTTAAAATCCATAGTTTCTTTAACATTTAATTATGTAAAAAATATGGTACTTTTTCATAAACCTTGTCGTTAGATACCCTGGAAACAGCCTTTTTTCCCTAGATAAATATGGACAAATTTTACTATAACATTGTTGCATGTTCTTTTCATATATACGCAGTTGTCAGTTAAACGTGCTGTCGGCTACATATGTTTTGTCGGCTAAATATTCGTGTCGATTAAATGCCCTGTTGACTAGCTCTTTGATCCTCCAATTTTAAAACTTTACATTTGAAACTTGAATTTATGAAGTACAGGAAGCTAAAGTATATTTTTAATTGCGTAGTTTCGTTCTTCAGTTTTTTTTTCTTTCTAAACTAAAAAGTCAGAGCTCAAATTGCGTCCGAGCCCAACGGAACCCGGCTCCGGTGCTTCTTAGTTTTGGGAATAATTCATAATTCTAGCCCTAAATAAGGCGGCTCCGGCACTTCTTTTACGTAGCTGAACAACAATTTCAGCAGAAACTTGGCCTTGAAATTTTTATATTTTAGTAATAAAATTATATTAGAAATCGCTTATTAAATTTTGAATTATCTCTTTGCATTTCTTAAATTTTAATTTTAATTATTTAATTACTTTAACCATTAATTATTTTAATAATGAATTATTTAATTATTAATTATTTTATCAGTCATTTTATTTATTTATTTATTCTTGTTCTTTTTTCCTGAAGGTTTTCCATAGGGCTCCGGTACTCCTAATTTTAAAAATTAACCCTTTGAAGGGCACCGGTATATAATATACACCGGTTGTTTGTCAATTTTTTAACCCCCGAAAAAATGCTAATTTTTCTACACCAAAAGCTACAATCGTAAGTGTCTAGTGTTTTCTTTCAATTCTAAATGGTATCATCACCCTATGAATGCTCAATATTTTGCAGTTATGAAATTAATATACCTCTTTGCAAGGTATCATGTGGGAAGATTCATAAATTCTATTGGAGGGAAAGAAAAAATTCAAAATCTGCAAATATATGAGGTACACATGCTGAATCTTATATATTTACTTTATTTTTGTCAGAATTGATAATTAACAGAAGATTATTTATACGATTTTAAAACCGGTATATAATATATACCGGCGCCACACTGGGGTAACATGCCAATAGATGGCAGCACCAGTTTCTCCTTTTCTACTCTGTGACATGACAGAATTTTTATTATTATAACAGTTTATGATGTATAATTTTTCATGATTAATTTATAAGTCGTTTGGGATTCATATATGTTCATGAAGGGAATGGGGCGTTTACTGACTCATGCACTAGGACTGAATACAAGTATATTAGCTTCTTTTTATTTTTTGTTTTCTCCAGCTTGAATTTCATTCATCTCTGTTTACCTAAAATTTTAATTTCAGCACTTTATCCCTATCCCAAGAGAAAGACTCATCTATCTCAAAATTCTCGTCTGAGGTCAAACACAATTGCCATCTAGGGTCAAACTTTACAAATGTGGTATGTTATAACACTCGTGGCATGTATCATGCTTTCCAAAAACCTAGAATGCAGTTTTCCAAAAGAAAATGCAAGGAAAATGAAAGAGGTGCTTGACAACTGAATTTGTCATTTGGGGGTCCGCACCTTCTTCCCTTTGTGAGGTGTGATAAGATCAACAAAGAGAGAAGGTCACTTAAAAATATGGGAAACAGAAATCACTTAAGATCCATCTCTTAGTGTAATTCACAAAAACTCCTGGATTTGAAAGCTTGCTTTTATTCTTTAGGGTATCTTATTAATTCTTTGTTAATTTCAGATGAAAGACTAGGGAAAACAAAAGGAGAAATTTGCCGCTCTCTGGTTAGGATACAAATAGGTTGATTCCGAAATAAATTTTCACAGTTAGTGAAAGGAGGAAAAATATTTCTGAGGCCCGTTTTAGATGCAAACCTAAAATTGTATCCATAAAGGTTGAAAAGGAGCCCCTAGGAAGGCCAAAGGAGATTGAAAATCGAGAATAAAGAGCTTTGAGGTGTATCAAATAATAAAATTGTTTAACGGTGTTTCTTCCTGAAAAAAAAAAAAAAAAAAAAAAAAAAAAAAAAAAGATATATATTAACAAACTATACAAAAAATAAAAAAGGGACCCTTACGGTCCTCGATGATCTAAAGTGTGTGTGCGTGGAGGGGGGGGGCGATTCTTCGTATACTGTATGAAGCATGGTTTTGTTCACACATTATCTAAAGCATAAAATACAAGTTCAAAAATGCAACATACTTTCTCAGCTGAGTCGGTCGTAGTGCTTCATTTTTCAATTTTTTTAATTTTCGGCTGAGTTACATCTGCTTGTAATATTATACTAGTTCAGTTACAGCATGATACAATTTACACATGCAGTGTTATATTTGCTAAATTTTTTTATAAAATAATACTGAATTTAAATCAAGTTGAATAGCTTTCTACCCATATTTTACATAAGTATGTTCAGCTGGGTTGCATCATCAAATTGCATAAAAACATAAATTTTATTTTAAAAATTTTAAATTTCTGCCGAAATTAAAAAAACAAAAATTGTCTTTAGACTTACACAACTATATTCAAGCACTCATCACTACAGACGCACATCAAAAGTAGGCAAAATTAATTTTAAAACAAAGATTAACAGTTGGCAGCTACCTGGAAAAAAATGTCCTAGAGGGGCGCCGGTATAAAATATATACCGGCTCTCAAAATTCAGTATTTCGCTCTAGATTTTTTTTAAGTCTCAATTTTGTGTCCTTAGGGTCCATAAGTTATAGTTCATGTAAAATTTTACCACAGTTTAAATTATTTTATATACTGCCCCTCAAAGGGTTAAAGCCCTGTAAAAAGCAGTCATTTTGTTTCATTAAACCAATAAAATTTTAAGCCGACTAAATAGTTTCCGATAAGTTCCACTCATCGTTTCGAGAACAGATTAAACACGCAAAGAAGATTTGAGATTTGCTATCAGCGTGTAAACACACAGACAATCAGATGAAGAACTAAAAGTGTAGTTTAAGTTTCGGTTTCAGTCGTGACGTGAATGTTGTAAGCGTGCCGCTTTGTCAGTATGGAACGATAGCGCGTGTGTGATGGCAGTGTTCGAAGTGCGGAAGTAAAGTAATTTCTGACGTGTGTTATTAATTCGAGTTTGCTCGTCGACTTCATTAGCGCGCGGGATTGTTCTAAACTGAGTTGAATACAGCAGTGGAGATGACTCTTCAAGTAACAAAAAATTCACATTGCACACAGCTGCAGCTTTTCCAAAGCCCTCTAGAAATTGGATTTTTCTCTGTGGATTCTTACCGTCGCCTTCATTTTGATCGCTCGCAGATGAAATATTATGTCCGAAAGCCCAGCGATAAATTATACCTCGATCTTAATGCTGGATATGGTCAAGCTATAACGTCTCAGTATGACACGGCCGAAAGAATGGATCAAATTTTGCAATGGATTCAACGTCAAAGACCGTGGTATGTATTTTTATTAGAAGTTTTTATTTAGTCCATTCATGATGTTGCAATAGTGGGAGTTTTTTCATCGATTTTTAACCTACTTACTGATAAGCTAGCGAGTTTTAATTTTGTGCATGCCTTGTTTATAGATGACAATGCAATGTAGTGGAGCAGTTTATTCAAAATTCGATTTAGAATTTTTTTTGATTTACTTCTTAAACTATTTTTCTTACATATCTATGTGTAACGAACAGTCTTAAAAGTTTCAGAAATTTACTGTTTCCACTGTCAGATAGAGCAGGAAAATATTTTTTAAATGACATTAGTATCAAACATTAAACATTATTTATGATTTTTTGGTGAATTTTCAAAAATCTAGATTTTTTTTCGAATATTCAACGTCATAATTTTAAAATTTTGATATCTAAAAGCGTTACAGAATTGTGAACTTTTCGCAGGTTATAAAATAAACGTTTCGCTCTCTTTTAAAACAAAACTGATAAATTATCGGTGCACCAAATTATCAGCTGGAGGATTATCTACAGTTCTGAAAAGAAAGTGCCTCTTGGTGAAAGCATAGTTTGGTACATTGCTGAAAAGTATAGTTTCAAGGTTATCATGTTACTAAGTCATAGTTAAATCTGCTGGGTCATTTTAATTTTTTTCTATTTTATTAGTTTACATTTTTCTTCAGTATTCCATTTTAAAAGTCGATTTTCTTAATTTTATTGTGGTGTGTAATACTATAGTCTTTTTTGGGAAATTTTCTAACACCCAAAAGCATATCTGTTATAAAGATTCCAAATTTTAAAAGATTGGGAAAGAAACTGTTTAATCTCTTATAAAATAAGAAATATAAAAAAAAATGTTAATTATGCGACATTCTAGGAATTTTTTAAAACTATCTGCGTTTTAATACAGCTTTTATTTGAACAGTGAAAGCTGTATCATAATTTTTAAACTATTCTGTGATAAGCTGTAGAGCTTGCATTTTGCGTACGTGGTGAAGACTCTTTTTTATATGTTATAGATTTTTTTTTTAAAAAATAATGTTGACTTTTCGCACATATCTTCGTTAATGAATAAACTAAATTTTTTCAAACTTTACTTTTACGTTTGAATTGTTGGAATTATTCATTGTTTAAAAATGATTTTAAAATTGATAATTTGATTAATAACGTGCTATAAGGCTTAAAAGGGGGAAATAAATAAATAAAAAATCTGAAAGCATTCGGATTTTATATTACGCCCAAATAGGCGCTTTTTTTTTCATTTACACATACATGCACGTTTTGAGAGCATTTAGGCTAAAAGTATTTAAAAACAGCATAGCTTTAGAATTTCCAGTCTCACGCGTTGGAGATAAAAATATTTTAATCCGCACATTATGTTGCCACTGCTAGCTTTGAAATCGTTGAGTTCTTAATCAAAAATTCGTTAAAGTTTAAAAGATATGACATATATAATAAAACGAATTCGGAGTTCAAGATTCTGGCTGCCAGGTGCCCATATTCGGGTGGAGGACAATGTTATTCAAAATTTGATGGCTGTAAGTATTGCTGTTTTTTTCCCAGTACGATAAATATACATACATTCATGCGGATTCTTCATTATTTAATTTCTTTAAATAAATACAGGGCGATAATATTTGGTGGCGACAATTTGAAAAGAGACACAACCGTTATAGTGATTCGACGGAAAATGCCGTTTCGAGACTAACACCTTTTCTGGGCTTACGCCTCTTTGGGCAAAACAGTTTTTAAAAAATAAGCTTTTATTTAAACCTGATAAAATAATTCATGACCTAAAAGTGGAAACAAAATTTATCATATAGTTTCAGGGGAGCAAGAGTTTAAATAATTCTCTCTGCAAAATTCCTACAATTTTATATCACGAATAATAACAGTTCGGGGCCATGAATAGCAAAATCTAATTATTGAAAATTTAAGCCATTAACTTTATACATTCATAATGGGCAACCTGACTCACGCTTTTATTATTTCTTAATATAAAATTATTGATAAATTTTGTAAAATGAATTATATAGGCTCTTGCTTCCATGAAACTATATAATAAATTATTTTTCCACTTTTAAGACATTAATTATTTTATGAGATATAAGCAAAAGTATATTTTATAGAAACGTTTCTTTATTCTTATTTTTGAGAGATATTCTGAATGATTTGTCTGTATTTTAGTGCTAGAAAATAATACATACAAGAGTTTTCCGGAAGATAATGTTGAGTTATCTGTGTGATTTGTTTCAGCATGAAATGTAAATGTGCATTATGTATGTAATTCATTGTAGAATAGAAAAAATATGTGACATATGCTTCAGCGTAATAATCCGCTCTGTAAAATATTGTAGTCGAACAGTTTTAAAGGTGAAAGATATTTAAATTTGAAAAGGATGATGATCGATTTGAGATTTGATAATCCTGCAATGGAGAGAGTAGAGTTCAGTAGATTTTGAGTTTGCTTTCCTGCGGCTCTCGAGTGCTTTGCCGTTTTTCGCCGTTTTGGTTTTTGTTAATTCTGTAATACTAAACTTCCAGTATAATGAAATGCCGATATTCTTGCATATACGTAATGGAGGAATGCCTTAAAAATGTATTCTATTTTCAGCAACGTCTAGTTCCCAGTTACCGTTTTGTATAGTTCAGTCTTCGCTAATAAACTTCAAGAATTAAAGTCTGTTGAAACCTTTCATTTTTATAATACATTGCAGCGGAAAATGATTAAGCTTCATTATTGGAGATAAAGAACTTTTTACCTTATCGTAATAGATGGGTCTTGCTTTTGTAGTTGACTGGACATGTTAAAAATGCCATGAATGTAATGTCACTAAAGGTGCAAATAGATGTCACGCAACATGGGATTACTTTCTGAATGATTAGCGTGATATATTCCTATTTTAGAGAACAAGTTACCACAACAATGTTTTAGTGATCATGCTCTTCAAGATATTAAAATATTTCCGTTGTAAGGATCTTAAGTTTTACTAACGTTTATTTTATTTTAAATCTTTACTATCACTTCTTATTTTCTACTTCCGGCCAGAATTATAAGCGTTAAGGTTTTTATGCAAAGTTTGTCTGGCGAACGCCAAGTATTTAAGTTGTGGCCTTTTGCCAAGCGAGAGAGAGGAAGCAGTGAGTCAAAGCAGGCCGCTTACCTTAGAAGTTACGCAGTTGCTGTTTGCCTTCCAGGCCAGAGGTTTTAATCCTCTTGATAAATTTTAAAACGTATTGTAGTGTTCACAGTTCTCTGTACTACATACGCTTCCTGTTAATATAAGGCCAATCTTGCATGTTTATTAGTTTAAAGTTAAATTAGAGTTTAGTTTTATTTTTATACTTTTACGTTAGACCCCAAGTAGCGGGTCAGTGTATTCCGAAGTACGGAAGTTATTGTATATAGAGAAAAATAAAGGGTTTTGTATACCCTTCATGTGTATCCTGTCTACTTACCACAATTAGTGAACATAGCTTTAGTAAGCTCTCTGTTCCGAGTCAGGTCCTTGTATGTTCCCGAAGAAGGTAAGAAGGAACATTGAACCTGATACCGTAATCTTCGAAATTTTTAAATTATTGAATATATTCAATATAATCATTTGAAATTTTCTCATCGTACTAAAGCTGTACCTCACCCTTTTAAGGTATTTCTCCCACTTCCCTAGCGGGCCTTCGTGGTGTAACGGTAGCACGCTGGGCCGGTATTCCAGAGGTCCGTGGTTCGATTCCCGGCGAAGGCGGTTGCATATTTTTCATTCTCCTGCTTCCAAAAATATATCTAATGTCTCTACAGGTTATATATAACTGCAATCCATTTATGTTTATTATAGAGGGTGTTCGAACATTTTTGTAATAATTTTGATTTTCTCCATGAATTTAAATATTAATTTTAAATTACAAACGTGGCTGTCATCCAATTGGAATAAGGTTTAATTATCGTCTGCAGCATTAAAAGTATTCTTTTCTTTAAAATGTGGCCGGAAAATAAATACTCTTATTTAGTTATTAAAAAAAAAGATGTGAAAAGCATGTTTTTAATATATCTACACGTAATGACGTAATTAATATGAAAGAAAAGAAACGTCAAAATTTACATCTAACTGGGAAAAAAGGCATAAAATGCATACCCAACAAAGGTACGTACAGCTCTTATGTCGCATCTCACGTTTTAAAGAAAAATCCAACTTTCTTTCCCCAAAGAGCTATTGCAAAATATTTAGATATCTCTGTAGGAGTTGTGAACAAAATTATAAAATTTGATTTAAAGCTAATCAAAACAAAAAAAAATGATGTTCATCACCTAACCCCGAAATACATTTCTCCTCCTAAGACTACGTACAGATTGCTGTATAAAAATTATTTGGCAGGTGAAAAATAGAAATATATAGTTACAATTGAATAAGGCTGGGATATACTTACCTGACTACAACAGAAAAAAAAAAATCGATTTACTACCGAAAAAGAGGAGAAAAGGGCTTAATATATTGGTTCAGAGAAAACAAGGGAAAAAAATTTTTAAAGGTTTTATGGTTATTATTGGATTTTCTTACAACGGAAAACTTAAATAATATTTTTTGAAAATAATGAGAAATGAAACCGGAATTGAAGCTATTCCCTTTAAATGCATCCCATCCTAGTTTCCTGATGTGTCTGTCTCCTATGGATTATTGATTGTGCATTTGGACTTTTAAAACAAGCTCTTTATAAGAAGCATCCCAAAACATTGGATGTAGTGGAAAAAAATCAACCTTGATGTTTTAAGAAAAGGGCTTTTATATTGGAAATAAAGATGTAATATGATAGTTCAACGAAAGGGCTATCAAACTGAGCATAATAGAAAATGAAATTCTAAGATTTGTTTATATATAAATCTTTGCAAAATCGTTACAAAAATGTGTGAACACTCTCTGTACGTATCTGTATGAACCATAGTGCATAGAAAACGCCAAACGTTTTGTATATGAACGTATGATGCATATGATCATTTTTAAGCATATTACATTG